GGAGCCACCTCCACCGAAGCCACCACAGTTCTTCCTACTGCTTCACCTGGAGCCACCTCCACCGAAGTCACCACAACTCCTCCTACTCCTACTGCTTCACCCGGAGCCACTTCCACCGAAGCCACCCCAACTCCTCGTATTGCTTCATCGGGAGCCACCACAACCGAAGGCAGCACAACTCCTCCTACTGCTTCACTTGTGACCACTCACAATTGAAGCAATTCAACAATGATGCAAGGACGTAGTCTAAATAAATTGTCTTTTACTTTTCTGTTGAATGTCATCCTTTGTTGTTTATAGTTGGCCCCTTTGTTGGATCTGTGTGCTTTAGTTTGTATTAAGGTTACTTTCATCTTTGAGTGTGTGATGAAAGTTTTTAATATATTTTCATGTTTAAGAAAGATATTTTAATTATACACTTTTATATATTTTTATTTTTTGTTGTTTAAAACAAGCTAGAGTTTCTTATAAAGATAAAATATATCATATAAAATGAATCTTCAAAGCTACTGGATTGGTGGTTGTTCACACTCTTACTTCCACGATAGATTTGCCGCTGTATTTTAAGTAAGAAAATGAATATCATCGCTAACGCTGTGTGTAGTTTTTGCAAAGCGATGATACGCTCGTGAAACACGTTTCATATTTTGGTTAGTTTGTAAGGGCAGTTGGGTCATTTGACAACTTACGATAAATTTCTCACCTTTCATGTTGTAATGTTTTGTATGTGTTGGTTTTGTTTAAAGCTTTGTATCTTTTGTATCATATAAATTTAAGAATATATATATATATATATTAAAATTTATAAAACTATTTAAAATAATTATTTTTACAAATAGATTACACATTTCAAATCAAACTTATTCAATCATTCAACACAAAGTAACAAAAACCCAATTTCCACTACATCAAGATGTTAAACCAGAAAAAAAAATAAAAAGTGGAGTGCACCTCCAATTTTTATTTTCAAATTACAAAAGGATACTTGTCTCTCTCTCTACTTCCAAAAATAAAATAAAAATACATAACTATCTATCAATAATAATTCATCTTTAAAACAATAAGGAATGTGTACTCTTTAATAAAATGAATCTGAATAAAATGGATTATAAGTTTACATTTAATGGTGTTGGAATCACATGTAGTAGAATTATATGTGTGTGAGTTAAAAAATGCAATAGTACAAACTGAGCGATTAGTTAACGTTATTATAATTTTGGTGATCGATCACATGTAGCAGAATAAAAAAACAAATATATTAAAAAAAATACAGATTGAGGGATGAGTTAACGTTATTATAACTTAGGTGATAAAAAACAACGAAAGTTTGAAAGAATAATGGCCCATTCCTTCAAATGACAATAAGTGCAAAATGATGCATGAAATGGAATATTGCTTTGAATACAACATCACACTACTTATTACTTTTATGGGAATGAAATGATTCATAGTTTTAAAATGAATCAGAATCCACCATGGCGGTTGAATGATTTACTTTTTTATTCTCTTGTTGAGAAAACACAATTTATGTGAAGTAAATTTTGTATAAAAGTTTTACTTGATGCTACAAAAGTTTTACACTAAAACTAAAATCAATTTTGTATATTTTATTTTGTCTTGTTTTATAAAAGCGTTTTTACTTGTTTTCTTCTCTTTTCATCTACTTTCTTGCATTAGAATATTGCAACCAAAATGTCTTTATTGTATATTTCTTTTAACAAATTTATTGTATCCAATATAACGATTATTAATTTATTTTAAAGTATTTATATTAAAAAATAAATAAAGTATTAGTCGAAATTAACAAACATGTGATTTTTTTTCAAATATTCTCCGACCAAACGAAAGGAAGCAAGACAAGTATAAACAAAATCGAAAATGAGTAAATTGAATATTTATAAAAATATAAAGGGGTTTATTAAGTTGATTCTATGAGAGATTGATACCAACGTCAACACAACCCTTTTCACTACATACTCAATTCCTCTATAAATTATTCTTGTATTTTATATATCTCTCGCATTTTCTTACAATTATTATCATGGTTCGTTACTTAGTTGTGTTGAGTTATGGTGTTTTATTTATCTGATTCTATTATATTGTGGTTGTTCACGGTGCTTACTGTAAAACTAAAGACTAATTTAAAATACGATTGGCAAAAGAAAAGAGCATGTAATCAAACTTTATTATTAGAAAGTAAAGAGGGAAAGCTCTCTATTATATTTCCTTGAAATATGAAGTTAAATAGGACTGTTTATATATGTCAGTATAAACCTTTAAAGTAGCAACAAATGATTTAAAAAGAAACAAACTAACAAACTATAAAATAGAAGCAAAAGTGAACAAGTGATAACTAACTTTCAGCTTATCTTGGTTATCATTAACCCTATTCAAACCTAATCTCTAATACTCCCTGTCATGTTGGAGATTGAGGGCTGTGAACAACCAACTTTGACAAGAAATCATGAAATGTTTTAGCCCCTAATGATATGGTAAAGATTCTAGCTTGTTGTTGATGAGTTGATACATATACATTATTGACGGTCCTTATTGAATATGTCCTCTTATGAAATAACAACCCACTTCAATGTATTTAGTTCTTTCATTTGCTGCTAAATGAATGGCTGCTTGATTATCACAATGTAAAGTTTTATGACGTGTGCATGAAACTTGAAGCATGTGTTAATGATGTATATTCTACCTTACTAGAGGAATAAGAAATAGTCGTTCGTTTTGTTTTTTCCATGATATTGAAGTATTTCCAAATTTTATCAAATAACTCGATGTAGAGTTTCTTGTTATGGGACATGGTGTAACCTTAACCCACGAAATATTTTTTCTTTCTTTTTAAATTATACTACAACACAAAAGAATATGAGACAAAGGTGTGTCACACCAATATAATGCTCAACTTTTTACTCGAAATGGAAAAATAAAATTTAAAACATAGTAAAATAATCACAACCTTAATGTTACAATATCATACATATTATTTCAAAATAACTATTATCTGATTTAACGTCCAACGAAACATAAAAGAAAAGCAAGCAATTAAAGTGACCATCTATCATGTCTTAATTTTTACCCCTAAAATTCCACCTATCATATCATTTGTATATCATTCAAGATCACAAACATGGTAGCCTCATAACTCCCTCTCCTTTGAGTTTGCTTTTGGGAGAGATCATCAAGCACAATATGTGTTTCTTTTTGCCTTTATTCTCAACTTTCCATAAATTCTATTTTCAACTCAAGCATCCTTTTAACCTTATTCTTTTTGCATTTGATTCTCCTCCATGAGGAAAATATTTGGCACAAGAAACATTTCAAAATGCATGGAAGGATTTCATTTGGCCTAAGCTTGAACATGGTGTCTTAAATTCTATTTTTTCCGCTTGACATATAATTGGTAATCATCCAAAACTTCACTTGGAACCACCAACACATGTAAAAAGTTGTTTGTCCTTGCAAAACGCATCTCATAGAATACAAAACGACTCGATTCCATGCCCAAGTCACACTTTTCATCCTTCATTTTCACACGAATCATAAATCACAATTTCTCAACTTAGTTCACACATTCCAGATCCAATCTCGCACATACCATGATCTCACTTGGTTTCCTATAAATAGAGGACCATTTTCCTTCATTTGCAAGCATGAACAACCATAAAACCTTTGCCATTTTCACTCCCAAAACCTTCAAAAAAACACCATTACTTCGTTTCAAGCTCATTTTAACTTCAAATCTCTGACAAGAATCACTCAACAACATCATCTAAAGCTAACTGAAGCATTACAGAAGTTCAAAACCTCTTGCAACCTTCAACTTGATTTCACCATTGTTGATCATCGAAGCTTCAACTGAATAGGTAGATACGAGTAAAATTTCTGATCAAAAAATTTATCACACTCTTCGTTATGGTTCACTGGTTAAAAACCATCACTTACCTTAAATTTATATTTTGTATTAGTAATTTAATTTTACTATGAAACCTTAGGGTTTTCTGAGTTGTACGCAAAATTATCTCTGCTCAGAGTGAATCAATGGCTCTGAAGCAGATAGACATGAACGATAAGATGAGTAGAAGCTTGTACGTATAGTGTTTGAACTTAAACCTCTAAGTTCATGATTCTACAAAATTGAACTCAAGGTTGAAGACGACTGTGTTCATGCGCCTTGGAGAAAAAAATTCAAATCCTTGATCAATCACGTTGCGACTCGCGTCATATCTGTTGGAAATTTTAATTTCTTTTTGTTTTAATTTATTTTATTTTCATTAGCTTTTTTGATTTATTTTAAATAACTCTTTTAACTTTTTTTACTCCATTTTTTAAATCACAAATTATTTTCTATCACATATGTTTTTTTTTTCTAGATTTTTAAAATTATTTTTAGCTTTTTTTTTCTATTTTCTTCTTATTTTCATTTTAATTCGTTTTACAATTTATTTTCACTCATTTTGAAACATTCTTCATTCCAACTTTTGAGATCTATTTACTTATGATATTTCTGTTTTCTCAAATTTTCTTGGTTATTTATTAGATGTTTTAATACCTCTTTGATATATTTCTTTTAATTTCCATTTAAAATCATTTTAATTCTTTTTTAAATAATATTTTGATTCATTTATGTTTGAATTTTGTTGACTTGGATCTTGGTTTGGTTGTTTGAGTCATCATCAAGTTCAATTGGTCTTTAGGTTGATGTTTTGGTTGTAAGAAGTTTTGTCATTTCAAACTTATTATTTAAATGATCATTTGATCATTTATGGTACTTTTGATTAATGATAATTTATTCTATCGTATCATGAAGTAGAATGATTGAAATAGATGATAGATAATCCCTTTCTATGTTTCAATTTGTGATTGAGCATTTCTTCTTCTTCTTCTTCATTTTTCTTTATTTTAAACCATTATGTGACATACATGTTAGCAGAATAACCTAATCAAAGGATAACAGGGCATCTTCTGTCACGTGCTTTTGTGTCATGTGTACATCAATTGTGACCTCTTTCCTTACGTTTCCTAGCTTTACTTCGCAAAGCCGATACACGAGCATTGTTCTCCGTCTCCTGAGTTGAAAATATCAGCTTTAGCTTACCCTCCGAAAAGATATATATGTGAAAAAGCTAAATGCGAGCAAGAAAAAATTAACAGCAGTAAATATATAATGTCACGAACTCACCCTTGTTGCAATCATGTGTTTCAGGCCAGCAACAAGCTCGAACAAATACTTATAAGCAGCCGCGTGAGGCTCCTGCAAAAACTGAGAATTTGGTTCAGCATTAGCCATATTTACAAAATGTTGGTAAATTGTAAATGATGCTGCTACCTCTAATGTTAGGTGGGAGAGGCAGCCCTTCCACCAAAGGAGCTCTTGGAACCGCCTGAACCATCCGGAAGCTGGACACTCCAACTTGGAGCATTATATATGCCTAATGACTCAAAGTCAAATTCGGGTCTCGATGCATCTTGAGGACTAGAGAAGGTGGAGGTTGAGGCCTCTATGTCCTTTATCAACAAAATTAAGTTGGTTCAATTATCCGTCTCTGGCAGGCAATACAACATAATGATGATGATGAAAAAAATTATATTCATTTCTGGGCATAGCAAAAGAGATAGCAGAGGAACACTTATTCATCAATTTGTTATAATTACAGTTCAAAGTGATAAAACATTGTCTACATCAATTTGAATTTCTTATGTATTTACATGCAATTATACTTATTCATCTTATAGATTATAGCTAACACGATAGCAGAGGAACACTTATTGAAAAAGCTATTTGCTAACATACGATTTGAGAAGAGTCTAGTTTACTCAAGTCCGTGTCATCAGCATCAAAATCAAGATAAGGATACACCTGGGAAGCAATTATAACAAATGTCAGTAACAATTAATATAACAGAAGAAAATAAAAAATAAAAAAAACATTTCAACTTTTTTAATGACCGATGATAGTATAGTTAGTATTATGTTTGGGCGAGGATCAAAATTCTCTTCTTTTCAATCCAGCTCTTAACTCCCTCACCTAGCCAGCCTTATATCCCCAAATATTTCAATACATTAAAATGCATATGAATATTTGAACTTGCGGGTAGTCTGGAGCACTAAAAAGTGTATATAGCTTTCCTGACTCGCCATCATGATCTATGCTGTATCCATTCAACATATCACCAAAGTCATCCCTACCAGCCCTTGCATCAGGTCCTTCATGTGATCTGATGATCAGCTATTCAGGAAGAATAATATTCACTAAGCTTAAAGAATACCTATTGAGCAATCAAATAATATTTATAACTTGCACTGCTTCTTTTATTCACACATCTAAACATGCAATTCATCTTTAACAATGACAAGTGTCGTTCATAACGATTTTTGTTAAAATTTCCAAACACCTGATAATACTCCTAGATAAAACGGTAACGTAAATGGGAGCACTACTCCTATATAAAACTCCCTGGTTTAAGGGTAACTCATTAAAAGGGGAATGGGGAACTAAAGTTTTTAATTTCATTTAGCATTGAACTTCTTGATCCTAGGAATATAAAAAGAAACTAGAAAAACGGGCATGCTATACTTAAAGAAAGAAAGTAAAAACAGAGAAGAGTAAGGGGTGGAGTGGAGATAAGAATGTTTAAAACCCTATGATTAAGGCATGCTGACAGAAAAATAATAATTTGGTAGGGCAGAGATAAATGACATCAAATACAAGTTTGATAATTAGAAGATCGGGAAATCTTAATCAAATTACTTATTGTAGTAAAATAAATAAGCATTTTGTTATTCTGTATTAGTTATGTTATTATTATTTGGAATATTACCTTCAAATTGTGCTGCTTTAAGAAAGCCTCGGTGCAATCAGGACCGCACCATAAACCTAATTTCCGACCTGCATTAACCCTCAGACCATCTCTATTAAATGGTTTTGACGAGAGAATGTCACTCAATAATATGTTAGGACCCTCAAGTGGAGAATCTATGCAAGTTCTTTTAACTTGAGATAAATCAGCTAAAGAACCAAGGTCCACCCTTTGTGTCATTTTCTGTTTTGGATTTACTGAAGCGGAAGCAGCAGCGTGAATGCTACGAAAAAGCCCCCCATGAGTAGTATAAACACGGTTGGCAATAACTGATGCTAATGGAAGTTCCTTGAAACACTCCAGAAATTTATTGTACACATCTTCACTTTGATTACCATATTTGGTCTGTACCTCCTCCTTAAAACCATATTGTTCAGTGCAATATCTTGATTCATGATTTCCACGGAGTAGATACACTCTCTGAGGCATCAAGACCTGAATATACAATGACAGAGTTTACATACTGATAAAAAGTCAAAGAGAAATAGGTATCAGTGTTGTATTTGGTCACAGTAAAAGTTGCTAGGTCATATAAATATTTCTATATAGTACTCTTCTGTGTTCTTTCTTTCTCCTCCTGGAGAATATGCACCTACAAGGCAACAACCCCCGGATAATTCATGAAATATCTATAAATTTTTTAAGTCTCATCATCTTACCTTCCAAGCTAGCAAGACCAAGAACACCTCAATGCCCCAAGCTCCTTCATCAACATAATTACCATTGAAAACATAAAACTGGTTCTCAGAAGGCATTCCTAAATGCTTCAAAAGAAACATTAAATCATGAAACTGCCCATGTATATCGCCTACAACAATGACTCTTGAATCCTCTCCAAGACAATTAATCTCCACACAGTTTGGTTCTTTACGTAAAACATTACAGGCAGCATCTATCAATTTGAACACCACAAAGGTCTGCACAACATGACAGAACTCAGTTGGCAATGTCTTCTATGAAGCCTTCTCAAGGATAAACATCATGTCCTGAACCCACTCAAAGGTGACACAATCATCGGAAGGCCACAAAAGAAATTGCTGAAAGCAGGATGACAGCAGAGACTCTTCTACTTCATCTATCCCATTTTCAAATCCTAAAACCTGATCCACGTCCAACATCTCATCTTCATGCATCGTGCTTTGTGCCTCATCAATAAGAATATCCCCATTGCTGATCTTGATCGAGTCAACCACAGGACTGTCTCTCGCCCCTTCATCCACAAAGCAAACCTGTAAACTGATTAATGTACCTTAAGAGAAATCTTAAATGTAAACAAGGGGAGAAAAGTCCAAAATTACTGAGGCAACTGGAAGGAAGAACTTATTTGCACTTATCTTGCAACAGAAGCACTTGTGTAAGTGTTGGAAGAGCTTATTAAAAAACAGGTTATTATAAGTCCAAAACCTTTGTTTTTGCTTATTTTCATAAGCTCCTCAAGATGGCTTATACATATAGCGTTGATTCAAAGTTTAAGCTCGTTTCCTCTTTGATTGCAGAAACAACTTATACAGGCTCTTACATGATAAGACCTTAATGAATAAACACTTAAATAGGTTGCATGATAAGACCTTGTTAAATGAATGCTTTATTAAGTTACATGATAAGACTGCATTGAATGAACGCTTTAATTAAGCTTTTTACTCAAAACACTTTATGTGGTATTAACCCCTTACTTGGTCCACAAGTATCTCAGACGTAGTTATTGCAACTCTAGGTTGCTTATCAACAATCCCATGAGCAATTTCCTTCATCCTCAAAACTAAATGCATCCTCTGGTCATCCAAGCCTTCATAGGACATCCTACTTAACATATGAACGATATCTCTCGATGCACACACCTGCAAACTGCCTCAAGTCAGATCAAAGAGAGAGAGAGAGAGAGAGAGAGAGAGAGAGCAACAAAACATCCATATTAAGAAAATCAATCACGAATAAATACATGAAAGAAGCAAAGTGAACCATTTTCTCAATGCTGTAGCGCAACGTAGTAATCACGTCATTCTTAGTCACCTGCAAATAGCACTCAATTTGTGAGGAAGGAAAATTGTGTACAAAAACATCATCAACCTTTTATATCTCTCTCTATAACCTAACACCTTTCTATCTCGATCATCAACAACCCCGCGCGCAATTTCTCTCATCATCACTAAGGAATGAACTTGCTGGTCATCTAAATTTACCCAAGACATTGAATTGATTCCTTCCAGAATCTTATGGCACCCACTCTTGATTATCTCAGTGTGATGCTCCATCACTAAATCTGCATAATGTAACAAACCAAAGTAACCCATATGAAAATTTTCACTCAACGCATCATGAATATAGTTCAGAGTATACATGTAAAGCTTTGCACAATGATTAAAGTCATATGAGCAAGGAAAAGCAAGAACTTTGAAGAATTTCCGCATAGTCAAAAATGAAAACCCAAAAGGGAATGAAAAAGGGAACTCACTCACTGGTGGAAACTATTTCGTTGAGTTCAATGGAAGCTTCAAAATTCTACTTTGCAACGATGCATGTGTTCTAGAGGGAAATGAAAATTAGGGTTTATTTGCAAGTGATTCAAATTGGATTAGAGAAACAGGATTCAATCATCATTAAAAATTATTTACATGTGTTGCTATGTTTAATTTCATATAAAAATTAATTTAATAATATATAATAATAACACAATCATTAAATTTTATTTAAATAATGTTTTTATGCTATTTTACATTCATCAGTTACTTTATTAAATATTTTAATTAATTTTGTCAGCTTTCAGTCACAAATTGTTAGCTACTAATCATGGGTTCTAAATTATCAATTATCAATCATATTAGTAAAAAAAATTGTACGTTCGTACGGATCATATAAAATCGATATAAATATTAAATATTATAAATAGTTAAAAAATGTATATAAAATATATACGAACTATGAAAAATAATTTAATAATCATTATCATATAAATATTAATTTAATTTATCAAGTTGTAATAATTGGCAGGATATACATAAAAATATATATATTCATACGGGTCGCGCAATAAATAAATAAATATAATATAGTGATAGTTAAGTTGACTTTTTTCGGTTCATTAAAGGTGTAATGTCCGCGAGTCCGTCCTGCCCCATACTCACGGTTCATTATAGGCCTCAATCAAGTTCATTGGCCATCAAACAAATTGCAACAAAGCATGCAACCTTAATTGGGTACCTTCACTTCAAAAATACATCAAAAATAGAAACAAGGATCAATAAATCAAACCAAAAACTTCTTAGCATCTTTGAAGTGTGTAGAAGTCAGAAAGCAAGCCTTAAGTTCATGAATGATTGAGGAAGGGATCCAATGAGGCCCAAAGTTCAAGACTAGTTGGCAAAACTACCACACTAGACAAGTTTTCAAAATAATTTGTGGAAAAATGTCAAACCAAGTAAAATAATTCAAGAAAAATGGTTTTCAGATCCTCGATACATTCACGAACCCTAATAAAGACTTGAATTCTATTGAAAATCCAGGGCATAATGGTTTTGAAAAAGAAACTTGCACAATAAGCAACAAAACCCTAATTTTTGACTTTTAATCTCAAATATTGATTAGCCAAGATCAAAATCCAAGAAAATCATAACCAATATATATTAAACATCACTAAACTCAAAAGGTCAGAATACCTATTTTTCCATATTTTTTGAATTTAAGAAAAGTCAAAAATAAAATTAAATTCAAACAATTAATCAATTTATCCAATAATCACATCTCAAAATAAAATTCTAAACAAAAGTCAGAAAAAAGTCCAACCAAAATTATATTCAAATGTTAGAACTAAAAACACACATCTCTGATTTTTTTGGAATTTTTGAATTAAAGGAAATATTAAAATAAAAATTATACAAACAATTAACAATTAAACCATTATTTAAGGGAAAAATGCAAACCCTAGCCAAAAATCACAAAAAGGTCAAAATAAAAATATTATTCAGATTCTATGATTAAAAAAAAGCTTGCATGATTTTTTTGAGAATTTTTTAATTAAAGGATGTATTAAAACCAAAATTATGAAATAAATATTTCAAATAAACTCTTGAAATTAAATTTCTAATCAAAAATAAAAAAAATGCTAAACAATTTTCAGAATCAATTTCTAAATCATTTTATGAGTCTAAAATATTTTTTGTAGAATTTTTAGATCAAAGGGACTATTAAAATAAAAATAATCTTTAAACAAATAAATAATTGAACCCATTAATTTTTAAACCAATCAAAACATTTTGAAAAATTCCAAAAAAAAATATGAAAAAAAACTAGAAATTATTATTGGCCTATGGTAATTTCTTTAGGATTTTTGAAAATGTTTTGATCACAAAATAAAATCAAACATAATACTAAATAAAACAAATAATTCAAATAAGACAATTATTCAAATGGACCAATCAAAATGCACCACCACATCATCTTCAACCTCCGGACCAACTCAAAACGCGCGCAAGACTTGTTCTAGGGCTCATGTTCAAATCCACCATACATACTCATTTCTCCACCAAATCAATGAAATCAAGTGCAAATTAAAGTTAACATGGCAAGGAATTAAACACAATTCGAAACACATCAAATAGACAGCCATGGATCCAGAAATCTCAGTATGAAATTGTCAAAAACTCACTGAAAATTCAGAGTTGCAGATATTTCAAACACGTATTATACACCAAAATGAGAACTCAAATTGCTTCTGAATCATTCATATAACATCCACAAACAGATATTCATGCTTAATTTCAACAATAAACGACTACATTTCAAGAATCGAAGTTGAATGATCCTACCTCAATTCAAAATCTGAAATCTCAATTCTCTTGCTCCAGGTGCGATTCAAAGCTTGCTTTAGCTTCCTTAGAACTTGAGGATGAAGAAACAAGAAGAAAAACTCCAAATGCACCACTGAAACTTGAGATTCGAAAAAAAATGCAGCTATGGAAATTGTGAATTCAGATCTGGAATTTGGACATTATGAGCTCTCTCCCTCGCCTTCAGTGCTTGCTTCTCATTATACATGACATGTAGAATAGGTTTTTCAAGAGAAATGTGCTTCAAAATGAGTGCATTGCCCAATTGGAAATTTTGCTATGTTGAAAAGTGAGATTCTGAACATGCCAATGCCTTGTGCATTTTTCCTCATTTCAGTTGCCTTTGAGGCCTTTCTTACTCATATTTTGATCCACCAAATCTCGGCCCTTGATTCCTTATGATGAGCTCATGCCATTGTTTTTGCAAATTTGGCAAGTTTGTGATTTTTTCAATCCAACAAGTGCAAAACCAAATGTGGCATGAATGGTGAGTGTGATGGGCCTCAACATATCACAAATTTCTCATGGGCTTGATTAGAAGCAAAAGGAATGGCTAAAACTTGAATTTGCAAGAAATGGCCATTTTGTCAAGTTTCAATAAAATGCCTCAAAATTCCAAAGTCCATAACTTGCTCATACTTTTGAATTTTGACACAAATGAGTACAATTTGGAAAGGTATTGAAAATATATACAATCCCTTAGTTTTGAGTTTTTGCAATTGAATCTATTAAGTTTTTCAAAATTGAGCTTGAAATTCACTAATTTTGGAAAATGACCTATAATTTTGTGACTTCCAAAGACCATAATTCTTGATTCCTTGCCAATTTGGACATGAGACCAAAAGGAGATGAAAGATCATCCTCTTTTCTTTCCAAGCATGTTTCATTTGCATTTTTTTGATCAAAGGTGAATAAAATGTGAATTTTTGAAATTAAGTCCTTATTTTCCAAAATTAGAAACTTTTAGGGTTTCTTCATGAACAACTTTCAACCCAAACCTCAATATCTTTGATCCAATTATCAAAATGGACTTGAAATATGAAAATTACACCCTTGAATTGATGTTTGGCCAAAAGTTCACTTGGTCAACCTTGACTGATTTTGACCAAAATGACCATTTTTCCCCTCTAAATCAATTGATCAACTTCCCTTTAAAATTGATGATCAAAACTTCAAACATATGATCTTTCAAACATATAGAGACCATTTATAAATTTTCACTTCAAAATTATCAAGAAATCTTGATGAAATCCCAAACCCTAGTTTTGGTCAACACCTTAGGAGACTGATGAATCATCTCCAAAACTTCAAACCTTCTGGGCATCTTGACCAATTTCTTGTACAAAGACTTTTCAAATGCCAATGAGATATTGTAGCTTCCAAATCAAGACTTTTACATTGATCAATAGCCTTGATCAAACAAAACCCTAATTTGTCTGATGAATCAAAGGAGTGATTCCTTCTTATAATCAAACACAAACTTCAATCCTTTGATGATCCAAGGAGATGGATAAGATATCTTGAGATATGCAAAAAAAATTGAGCTTGAAAGATCCAGAGGTTTAGATGATAAAGATTCTACTTGAGCAACTTGCCAATGCAATCAACCTTCAAAGCTTGAGGAAAAATTGATAACTAAAGAACTTTGATCCCATCACAATGTATGAATGTAATGCAATATGAAATTCATGATGAAACATAAGCCTAAATCAAGAGGGTAAATTTTGGGGTGCAACAATGATGTCTTAACATCTCTCTTGACATTGTGTTTTTATGTTGGGACATTAGTCTTGACATCTGTATTGCAAGCTCCAAAATTTCAATTTACTTCTTTCATAACGCACATGGGTTCCCTTGCGAACGAGACGACATGAATCTTCACAATACTCTTTGAATGTCATTTTTGGAAGGGAAATCTTCATCAATTTCTTCGAATATCACTCCTGGAGGGAAATCTTCACCAAATTCTTCGAATATCATTTCCGGTAAGTCACCATTCTCTTTCTCTGACGCCTATGAATGTTTAGGGTTGACAAAATATTCTTATGAATGTGTATTTTTGGATTTTATGTGAGAATTATTAATGTGGAATGTTTCGTTCTGGTTTTATTCAAATTTTATGTTTGAAACATTAATATGGATTATTTTGTTTATGTTTTATTCATATTTTGTAGCCTAAACTATAGGATGAAAGCTAATAGATTAGTGTATATTATAAAGCCTTACATCTTGTGTATGAATCATTAATGTAGTGTGTCTCGTTTTTGTAGCATATAACCATAGAGAGTGAGAAAGCCCTGGAGTGTGAATCATACTAAGAGTTAAGCTTATAGATTAAGCTGAATAAAACTTTAATAAATCTTACAAAAACCTTAAGTTGTATAAAACTTTCATTACATAAACCATACAAAAAAGGCCTTAATAATCATAACTAAATTATATGGTTGAGAGAATGTTTGACCAAGTATAATCTGCTTCATCATCATCAGAATCGGAATAAATCCTCTGACTTATCACCCTTCTTCTTCTTCTTCTTCTTCTTCTTCTTGATCTCCTCTTCCTAAGAGCTCTCTTGGGTTTTAACAATTTGGTTACACAAGAGCGACATCTTTCCTCTTCTTGATTATAAGGAGGATTTTTGCACAAGAGCATCCTCTACAACCACATCTTATGTTCTTTCATCATTGTTGAAATCTCTCTCAACATTGTTTGTACCTTCAGCAGAAGTACTTAATTTGATTCTTCTTCTCTGATTTTTTGGATGAAGTTCTTTTTATGTTTTGGTTCAAAGAAATTTCGCTTTTATATTGTTTTTATGATTCTTCCTCTTCTCTGATCTTTGAAATTCTAAAGGCCAAAAGATTTCACGCATATCAAGTTTGCTCATTATTGGTTCTTTAATTCTATACATTTTCTTTTCTTGAAAGTTGGAAAGATCTTCTGGTTTCCTACCTCAAGTTGTTGAATTATTACATCTATTTGTCTTTTCAAATTTCTTTTTCCCTTCTTCTATATTCCTTCTTACGCATAGTTTGATGTAATGATGTAATACAAGTTTTGATACTCAATTAACAAATCAGTGTATTGTTGATTCTGGTATGATACGACTGAGAATTATTCATAAACGATATCACAACGGTTGTTAGTTCAACCATTATTATAAGTAGAATAATAAACGAAATTGTAGGAGTCGAACTCATGACCTTTCAATTATTTCACAATGATTGCTTCCTAAAATCGTTGTTATAAATAGAGCGGTATCTAATTCATAACAATAATCACCCGCCTATTATGGTGATCAACATACATACAATCACACGCTACCTAACAACAGACGTGCTATCGTCATTATTTATGTTTTGCAACCGCCATTTTTTATGTTTTCCGTAGTAATGAAGACATAACATATGCATGATATTTTACCCTTTGAATTGATATTATTTTTTCCTTGCAACAAACTACAACTAAACCATAAATAACCTTAATACTAAGTAATATATTAAAGGGCATGAAAAAACAAATTTTATTATTAATTTGACTATTTTAACTACTTCCTCCGTCAGAAAATATAATAGAAAAATATGTATTTTTCTTATTTTAAAATATGATTAAAAAAAATCAACTTTCATCTTTTTTATTGAATAATTAAATGTAAATTGCATTTAATTTTTTTCTCATTTTTTCTATAACCAACAATCAACTAAAATTATTTTGACATCTTCCTTATCAATTTATTTCAAGAAAATCGTAAAAAATACTTTAGTCAAATTATTATGTTTTTATTTTTTTTAATAAATGTGTTTTTTTTAACTTTTTTTTCTCTTACATTTTGAAATGGAGAAAGTATATCGCAAACAAACCTAATAGAAACTTCATTTGTGATACTAATGTGAAAAAAAGACAAACTTTATCATCAATTTATCAAGATAAGTGGCTAACCAATGTCCACACTTATTTAAAGCTTGGTACAATCGGTATGCTATTTAAAGCTTGGTACAATCACTAGGCTTGAATGAGACAATTTGTCTATTGAGATCATAACCAATCAAAAAGTTCAATTGTTGCAAGTTTCCAAATATACTTATATCATAACGAGATCCACGAAAAGCAAAACACATGACTCCTTTGTAAAATGGAACAAAAGTGTTTATAGAATATAACTTAACATCTGCACCGCTAAAATGTGCAGTAATTATTGGAAAATTTGGTTGTTTGGATGTTGTATTGTAACATAGATTATATGAATCAGTGTGATCATGAAAACGCTCTAGTTTTACCACTTTTCTAACAGCTGATTCTAGTCTATTGTAAAAATGATGTGGAAAAATCATCATAGTTGTACCTGAGTCAATGATGATGTTCTGCGTAGAAGCATTTGTTCCTTTAAGTTTAAACCATTCATACTTTATCATCTTGTTTCCCACACTAAATGCTTCTAAATTAAGGAAGTAATAGTCTTTTTCGCTGCCTATAATTTTGACTAAAGGATTCGAAACAACGTTTTCACCATAAACAATAGCAGCATCACCAAAATTAAGTTTGCTAGATAAATTTGATTGACTATTTTGTTCATCAATTAAACACTAAGAGAATTTTCCACCAATGGAAGATCCTAATTGTTTTATAAGACACGTATGTCCACTTCCAAAGCCAATTATTCCTGAACTTTTACCGATAAACGAAAGGTGATTATTGTGTCCACATCCTACCACAATTTTATGAAATGAGACACTATAGTCAGAAGTAGAATTCAATGTAAGAGTCTCTTCGATAATATTTCCTTTCGTCTTTTCTCCACGACCATAATCATATGTATATTCACAATCATTCTCATCATAAGAACGCGATGTATCTTCCATAGATTTACATGTTTTAGAAGAGCATGTAATATTTTTGTAACTTGAAGAATTTGAAGGATTGAATATAGGAGATGTTTGGTTGTAACAATAATTACAAAGTTTACATTGAAGCCAAATTAAATTACTACTTGTATCTATCATGCTATATACCTTAAGGAAAGGTAAAAAAAAAAGTGGAAAGATTCCATGTTCTATAATTAAATTGAAATTTGAATTACACTTAAGAAAACAAACAAGAAAATTACTTTTTTATACAAAAATAATAATAGAATTGAAATATTTTGTACTATCTATTTTAGGAAGAGAATCACAAATAAATAAAATGAAGAAAATATCATGTTCTTGAATAAATTATTATTTTAAATTGTTAGATTAAACTAAATAAGTAACTCTTTTAAGTTACCCTGAGAGTAAATAATGGTCAAACTTCAAACATACTCTAAATAATTTTGAAGATAATGAATTTAAAAATTCTATCTAATATCATGTGCAAGTATATTTTAAGTCAAAACACATGGCCATACATAATTAAAAGCATGCTTGATTCAAATATTAAAACAATCATTGAAACCATATTGGTATTTAGAAACAATCTAGACAAAGATAGGAAAGTGATCATAAACAAAGCCAGATTAGTTGCTCAAGACTACAACTAGCAAGAAGGAGTTTACTACAATGAAACATACGCATTCATAGATAGAAGCCATTTGAATCTTCCTTATAATAATAAAAATAACATCTTCTCTCAGTTTCTAAGATATTCGAGGGGGAAAATTAACCAGGACACGTTCCGAATCCCAACTTTTATAGTTTATGTTTTTATTTGATTATAAGTGTAAACTAAATCAATTAACGCTTCATTTTTTTTATATAATCGAGAGAATAAATAATCATATTTCACTATAAAAGCAAATAAATTTACCCTAATCCTTACTTATATGTAACCGCCCCAAACTCGCATGTATTATTCTTTAGTATGGATTGCAAGACAGAAAAAACCTTCAATGTTCTTATAGAACAAAAGGTTTTTTCTACCCTTGCAATCTATCTCACATAATAGTGTTTATATTTTTGTTGTTGTTGTATTTTTTCTCATTTGATACATTACAAGTGCAGAAAAAATCATTATTGCTTCAACTTACACAAAGAAGAGAGTGCAACCTTTGTAAAGTTAAACAAAGAATTGAACTTAATTGATTAGAAGATAGATGTCAACGAAGATATTCATTCAAAAGAGCAAAGATTTGTTGTAAATAATTAATATTTTGTGTAAACAATATAATGGCCAAAAAAGAAAATTGTTTCACCTCGATTTTGTTTAATATCTGAGGTGACAGTTAAAATCACAAGATTATATACCTCGGTTTTCTTATAAAGTCGAGGTGTAAAATAACCAAATTTTACTATAAATATAATTGTTAAACAAATTTTACCCTAATTCTAACTTATATGTAGTCGTTCCAAATAGAGGAAATATTTACCACTGTCCATTGTCATGAAAATTTTTGATCTAGAAACGCTTAAGAACAGATCTCTGAGATGGATTGCAAGTGTAGAAAATAAAATAACTTATCAGAAGTTGGATAATTTATAGAGTATTATTAGGATATGCAACATAAAGGTATGCAACAAATTTTAAATTCCACCAAAGATTTGTTGTAAACAATTTATTTTCAGTGGTTGGATCAGATAATCCTTATAGCAAATATTTGTTGTTCTCTAGGAATCTGGATGTGTTGTAATATTTATTTTAATATTCTTTGTAAATAATATAACTAAAAAAAGATCTTGCACTTCGGTTTTCCTAAAAATCATAGGGATGATATTTATCATCGTCCTTAATCAAATCCTTGTTGTGCATTTCATGACTACCAACACTCAAGACACTACCATTAGTGATCCGTGTGAAACATAAATAACTTCCATTATAAAAGTATTTTGAATATCAAAAATTGATAGTGGAATATCATGAAGCGCTCAAAACTATCCTCCACTTTAAGGTTTGCAAGAGTTATTGGCACTGTTGTGAATTCAATGCCAATAACAAAGTATAGAATAAGGGAGGAATATCAAACAAGGAAGAAGAAGAACACAAGAATTGGTTATAACTGTTATTCTTTACTTTCTCTTTGGAAACAAGATTACAAGTTTACAAGAATAACAAATAACCCTCTCACCCTAAAATAGGATTTGCTGTGATACAATGATGAGAGACTAGTATGCTATTTATAATAAAACCTAACATACTAACTAATGGGCTTTTTCCACAAGGCCCATTATACAAGCTAACTTAATAATCAAGCTAACTTAACAAATTAGGGTTTAAACACTAAAACCTAATTTAACAAGCATTCTTCGACAAATACATGCTTCGACTACAACATGTACTTCGATCATGCTAGAGTTCGATCCAAAATCCCACAAATCTCCACCTTGGACCTAACTCTACAGCATCAAGAGACACTAACTAGCTTTCTTCATGCAGCTTTATCAACTGCATACAGTGGAAAAACTTGCAACTTGGCAATGTTTTGGTGATCATATCAGCGGCATTGTGATCTGTCGAGACCTTCAGCACTTGGACTTCTCCACGCTCGATTACCCCTCTGACGAAATGCAGCCTCACATCTATGTGCTTGGTTCGCTCATGATAGGCTGAGTTCTTCGACAGGTGTATTGCACTTTGACTATCACATTTAACAGTGATACCTTGACCTTGAAGTTTCAGTTCCTTTGCAAAACCTTCAAGCCACAATGCTTCTTTCACAGCTTCAGTTAGGGCAATATATTCTGCTTCAGTAGTTGATAAGGCAACAACCTTCTGAAGAGTTGCTTTCCAACTAATTGCTGTACCAAACATAGTGAAAACATATCCAGAAATAGATTTTCTGGAATCCATACAGCCTGCATAATCAGAGTCAACATAGCCTTCGACAGCTGCTTTACTATCTTCACCCAAGGCTCCACCATAAATTAAGACTCTGTTCAGAGACCCATTTATGTACCTTAGAATCCACTTTAACGCTTGCCAGTGAGCCTTTCCAGGATTCGCCATGTACCTGCTTACAAGACTTACTGCATATGCTATGTCGGGTCTAGTACAGACCATAGCATACATCAAAGAACCAACTATATTAGCATATGGGATGCTGTTCATATAGGTTCTTTCAACATCAGTACTGGGACATTGATCAATGCTTAACTTGAATTGAGGGTTTGTTGGAGTCACAACAGGCTTTGAATTCGACATACCAAACTTGTCAAGAATCTTTCGTAGGTATGCCTATTGAGATAAGCATAATTTCGACTGCTTTCTATCTCTTCGAATGTCAATTCCAAGAATCCTAGATGCAGCTCCCAGATCCTTCATGTCAAACTCCTTATTGAGTTCAGCCTTCACCCTCATTACATCTTCGACATTGTTGCTTGCTATCAGAATATCATCAACATAAAGCAACAAAATTACAAATGAATTTTCAGGTCGAAATCTGGAGTAAACACAATGGTCGAACTGACTTCTAATGAAACCTATGTGTTCCATGAACTTGTCGAATCTCTTATTCCACTGTCGAGGAGATTGTTTAAGTCCATATAAAGATTTCTTCAGTTTGCACACATAATCTTCTTTCCCCTTTTCGACATACCCTTCAGGTTGCCTCATCAGGATCGTTTCATCTAAGTCACCATACAAGAACGCAGTCTTCACATCCATTTGTTCCAGTTCAAGGTCGAACTGAGCCACCATGGCAAGCAACATTCGAATGGATCTGTGCTTCACAACAGGGGAAAATACATCATTGAAGTCGACACCTTCTTTCTGAGTGAAACCCCTTGCGACTAATCTTGCCTTGTACCTCTTCGACATTACTCCTTCAATTCCTTCCTTAACTTTGAAAATCCACTTACAGCTGACTAACCTTGCCCCAACAGGTTTCTTGATTAGTTCCCAAGTGTGATTATCATGAAGAGATTTCATCTCATCATGCATGGCTTTTAGCCATTCAGTCTTCATTCGACTCCTTATAGCTTCCTTATAATCTCTAGGTTCTTCGTCTAGAACTTCACTTGCAGAGATTAAGGCATAAGCTACAAGATCTGCATATCCAAGTCTCTGAGGTGGTTTTATGACTCTTCTTTGCCTATCTCTCGACAATAGGTAGTCATCAACAGTTTCCTCAACATCATCAGAATCTTCTGTTTCTTCTTCGACTTCATCTGGGATACGCATTTCAGCATCAACATGCTCCACCTCAACAGGAATCTCTACCTGTTCCAGCTCTTCGTCAACATCATCAGTTTTCTTGAAAACCATTTCAGTTTCATTGAAAACTACATCTCGACTGGTGATACACCTCCTGTGACCTGGCTCTAGGCACCATAGCCTATAAGCTTTCACTCCTTCAGGGTATCCCATAAACATGCATTTCAGAGCTCTAGGTTCGACCTTGTCTTGCCTAATGTGAGCATAGGCTACACAGCCAAATACTCTTAGTTTGTCGAGATCTGGTGGATGTCCCGACCAAACTTCTTCAGGTGTCTTCATATCTAACGCT